TTTTTCAAAATACTTCTAATGGTGCTATAATTCTTGGGTTCCATAGTAGATCTGATATAAATGAGTTTCATATTAACTATTTTTGTCTAGACAAGTATCATGATTACATTATATTGGTAATATATTTGTGATGTTAGACAAACATATTGATCCCTGAAATCATTGGTAATACCAATGTTCACTTTGTCTGGTTTTGTTGCAGTATGCCCCATATATATATTAAATTTTGGTAATTTTTTTTTATGCATATGGAAAATCTGCACAAAAAAAAAATAAAAGGAAAAATATCCAGCAACTCTTTTTTTCCGGAAGTTAAAAATTTTAAAAGGAAAATCCGGATTTTTAAAGTACTATTTCCAGCCCTGTTGGGAAGTGTATTTTCCAAAATTTTCTGGTGATCAACATCGAAATTCTATTAATAAAATTAGCCACAAACCTTATTTTTTGCTCATCAATCTCCACCAAATTTGAGACACAGATTTTTCCTTCTTTTAGAAAAAAATTAGGTGAGGTTATTAATAAAATAGAAAAAAATCTTGGTGTTAAGGTTTATCAACCAAATTACCGCATTTGGAAATTAATTATCTATTTTTAGTTATTAGTGGTTGTATCCATTGATTATCCAGGTGTTTGAGCAATTAGTCAATTAATAAAACTCAACATGGTCAGTCAATAGAATTCAACACCTGGATAATTGGTCATTCACCGAATATCTGCCGAATATCTGTTAAATATTAAATTTATTTAAAAAAATATAATAAATTTTTATTCATCAAGATCAAGAAAAATATTTTCAACACACACATTGCATATTTTTTTTAAGAAATACAATTCTTTCTAATAATAATGTGTTCAATTTTGTTTGTTTGACTGTCATTAAAGAATACAATAGTGATAAAATATTATTTACATTAATTACATGGATAAAATTTTCAACACCCGATTAATTAAAAATTTTCAATACCCAATTAACCAAATAATTGGTGAATAATTGAATATCATTCGGCGGATACAACCACTATTGGTTATGACTCCTGATAATCTCCTGCCCACAATTTTTTCCTTTTTGTGTATTGATAAATAAATTTATCAAAATTTAGTATGTTTTTTGGAGTTTTTTGCCATTTTCACTAAATTTTAATAAACAACAATCCACATAAAGCTATACCTAAATGAAAACTTACAATATTTTACATCTCTTCAACCACTCATCAAGTTTGTAAAGGTAATATTGGTAAAAAATCTTAGCTTTGAAGTAAAAAGTAATGCTGTTTTTGAATAAATATAGCTTGACATAGAGAGCCTTTATAAATATGGGAGAGGGCTCATTAGAAAGCTACAATGTCATTTGATTAATAATGATGCTTGAATTTGTTATGTATAAAAATAATAATATATATAAATTCCAAATCACGTGTCCACTAATTTACCATTGGTCGAAATTATGCAAAAAAAATTTTTTTTAAAAATTAAAATCGAAAAGGAATTAAACAAGACAAATGATAGATTTGATAAGGCGGAGGAGAATTTAGAAGAGTGGAAAAAAAAGTAGGAGAGGTTGAATGATTTGAAGAGGGGGAGAGTGAAGGAAGAATATGAAGGAGAGAGGGACAGGTTAAAGAGGGAAAAGGAGAAATTGGAGGAAGTTATGAACAATTAGTGGAAGCAGGTTGAGAAATTGCAAGGTGCATTGGTTGAACTTAATAAAAAAGAAAAAGGTAATTGAACAAATCGCATAAAAAAATATACAAAAAATAATTTTCCACTCATTCCATTTCATTTATTTATTTGTTTGATATACTGTTTGCAATTTAACAAATTTTCCCCAATTTTTAATGCTTTTATATTTTGTTCATTTGTTTTCATTCCATTTGAGGGAGCATTGGCATGCTTTTTGTGATGTTGGCTAACTTGTATTTTCCTTTCTTTTTTTAAAAAATTCATACATAATATTATGATTCATGGGGGCAATTCAAGTTAGTATTGGTGATATTAAAATTTTTTGCTTATTTATATTCTTATCAGACACAGTAGAGTGTAACTTCTATTGGGAGAATCATGTCAGTAATATCAAATCTAAATCTTTACTTTTCTTTTTTACTGCTTTTTATTATCAAACATTGCCCAAAAATCCATTCACATTATCACAGAACCACTCATTGCTACTGGTAAGCAAGTTGTAACAATTTAATCTGTTCAACAAAAATGAGAGAGAGCTATTGTATGAATAACTTTTTAACATTATGTTTCTCACAGCTTCTGAAAAGCCAAATGCAATTTTTGACAAGTTTATAAAACAAGAGCATGGTGTATTCTTGAACAAGTATCTTTGTGAAGACCCTCCACTACCATCATTCAATATAACACCTGAAAACAGTAATGCATCAAGGATCAAAATCAATACTCCCATGTTATATGAAGGGTTACCATTTCTTCTGCTTTACAAACTCCCAGAGCCAGGTTCGGACTGTAAACCATTAACAAGAGCAGAAAATGTTTTGAAATCAATGAAACAGGCAATAGATAACAACAGCAACATGCTCATTATGTTGGGAGTTTCAGGTTGTGGTAAAACTTGAACATGTTATGAGGTGCTTTGCACAACATATGGTTTGTATTTTGTTGCAAACAATTGTGGTAATGGAGGCCCAAAGGATATTATATTTCTTGTTTCAATGCTCAGTGGTCAGCTTACAGAGGATTTTGAAAGAAATAGACAACAGGCAGAACATCTTACTAGATGTGCCATTCTTACATGTTTATTTATTCTGAAATATTGTATTATGGTGAATAACAAATTCAATTCACATAGTTGGCTTATGTTCCAGGTTTGTCAGAAAAAATATGGTTTGTACTATAATTACCCTGGTGATATATTTGTGGAACTTATGAGTAGACTTCTAGAATGTGAGAGGTATGACATTGTAAAGACTACTGAAGAAATTTATGAACATTTGCAAAATAAGCTTGAAATTCAGGTATTTCCTGTTATCCTTGATGAAGCTCAAACATTGAATCTTTACAAGGATAAATTCCGATCAAGAAAGGACCCTGACCAAAAACGACCATTAATATCTCCTTTGTTGATGCAATGCTTCATCCTGTTGGCATTCAAATTCATTGTGTCATTCCCTGTGGGAGTAGATTGTCATTGCTTCACCTTGAAGAGATAACCCCAGCAATTTCCAGTTATTTTAAGTGCTGAAAAATTCACAGATTTTGGTGGATGGCAAGATTCTAGACATGTGAAGTCTTACACTGATAATATCATTGATTTAACAGAAAAAGAAGTAGAAACATTGCACCAACACTTTCATGGGCATTATCATCCAATTGTAACATATATTGAAAGTATGATCAAAGGCAAACCTTGTGTGGTTGCAGTGGATAATCTTTGGAAGATCTTAACAACAAGCTGTGATTTACCAGATCAACAAGAACTATCATTGTATCATCAAATTTCAAGAATTGCAGATGGGATTGACCAAATTCTATATCACAAACAATAGTGTTGGATCTTTTCAAATCAATAGCTCTTGCATACCAGCTATTGTGGAACTTATTTTCAATTTCATAGCCAAAAGCAAATGTGTCTTGTTGAATATGGATTGGATCAGTTACAATATGTGAATTCACCAAAGCTGTATGATTTAAAAGAAAAATTGAAAACTGTTGATGATGATACATTGACGGAATCTTGTGTTGAATTATCTGCTCAAGAGATATCTTTGACAGCATACGTGAATGAACCTTTTGTTATGACTGCACTTTACAATTTTTTTGATGATAGAAAACAGTTGCCTCAAGCAGTTTTGACAGCTATGACCACATTTAGAAATCACAACATTTGTGAATTTTTGTGGGAAAATTATCTAACCAGAGAGTTTGAATGCATGTTTGCACACCGGACAGAAGTGTGTCAATTGATGATGTTCTTTGGGATTGAAAAGAAAGAGTTTTCTGCATTGTTTCATCAGTCAGCAACAATTGTTGAAACAGTGGGATACTTGTAGTCTATACAGACTACAAGTATCCCACTTAGTTCGGACTATAACCATATCATATATTAGTTGGACTATAACTACCCTGAAAATGACGAGAGAAAAATGAATCACAACACACTTTTCGGGGTAGTTATAGTCTACCAATTGATGCTGTGCAAATTGCACTTGTCACGTCATTTGAGAGTCGCCAAGGTGTACCGTAGCTTAACAATTGTGACCGATTTTTGTCATCACCTCCATATGCAACATATCATATACTGGTTTGGTTATCGTGGTCGATTTCTACTATTAGGCTACATGGGTAAAAAATATATCTGACGATGCATTTAGTCATATATCGTCATTTGTGGGCCCGATGTGAGGGCTATGCCCGAACCTGGCACGTAGTGCCTTAGCTTTCTGGTTAATTCCTCAATTAGGGCCAGAGTTGAGGCACGTAGTGCCGAATTGTTAGCATATCTGGTAATATACCAAAGCATCCGATGATGAGGCACATAGTGCCGAATTGTTATCATATCTGGTAATATACCAAAGCATCCAATGATGAGGCACGTAGTGCCGAATTGTTATCATATCTGGTAATATACCAAAGCATCCAATGATGAGGCACGTAGTGCTGAATCGTTATTGTATTTGGTAACCCAAGGATGAGGCACGTAGTGCCGAATTGTTATCCTATTTGGAAACGCGAGGATGAGGCACGTAGTGCCGAATCGTTATCGTATTTGGTAACCCGAGGATGAGGCACGTAGTGCCAAATTGTTAGCAGTTATTTTGTGTCCGTCAAAAGCATAATTTTTATAATATATATATCTGTAATAATTTTACTTTTGGCGGACACTGCTAGTATACTATGTTTTGCGATCCTAGAACTCTTTCTTGCATAGTTGATACTTTTGGCGGACACCAATATATATCTGTAATAATTTTACTTTTGGCGGACATCAATATATATCTGTAATAATTTTACTTTTGGCGGACACCAATATATATCTGTAATAATTTTACTTTTGGCGGACACCAATTTTTTTTCGAATTATATAACTAAAATAGTGTCTATCCAAAGTGCAACTATCCTGTCTATAATAATTATACCTTGACCGGACACAAAAATGTCTTTATAAGTTGGGTATCTTTTATGGGATTTTTTTCAAATATTGTTTTCAGATAGCACAAAAACCCCTTTGTATGGTTCAAGTACTAAGATAATAATTTTTGATTTGAATTTTTTCTTATATTAATTGTAGAGGCGACAAAAATCCCTTTACCTGAGACAAATAACTAGCCAAATGTAGCAATCTCTCTGCTTCAGAGATTACTACTTAACTAGATGATAATGTCTTAGCACCTTTACTTGCTTCGCTGAAACATTTATAACAATTACGCATATTCAATGATTGCTAAAGATTTATTTTTCAATTCTTTTTTGTGTGGAGTAGTAGGAACTTTCATTTTAGCCTCAAAGTTTCGCTTGTATTCCAAGAACTCGGCCTCACTCATACTCTCACGCTCTTTTTTCCAGTAATTTTGGTTATCCCGCAACTCAAAAGCAATCTTAGTTCGCCATTGTTTTAACCTTTCTTGAGACATTTGATATTTTTGTTGTAAATGGAAGATAAGGGTATCTATATCAGATTCGTTTTTGATGAGATATTCTGAAGATAAAGATATAGTATCTAAAGATTCAAGTATTTCAATCTTAGTTTCAGTAATACTTGAGAGTTGTTCAACTATATTATTGCAAGAATTCTCTTCATGAATCTCATTACTAGATAATGTAGAATACTGAAATTTTGTTTCTTCTGAAATGGTAATATCAGTGGTAATAGGTATAGAATCGAAAAGTTCTTGAGTTTCATCAATTGATTCTGGCTTGTACGGTGGAAGAACTGGAATTGTAGGGTGATAATTAGGATCATTTGATTTTATAGCTATTATTCTTTCTATAGTTTCAAAACCAGCTCCATTATCTGGCACACAATTAATCCAGTATGTTTTTTTCCGTACTTGATTAGTTCTTGGACCTACACGAGTTTCGCCACTCTTAATGGTATAACCACACCAATTTCCTACTATTGCATTAATCAATTTTACTGTAGCCTTGAGATCGGGCAATCCTTTAGCTCTGGTCTTAAAACCGAAGAGTAATAATGCATCTTCTTAAATTTTAACGATTTTTTCCCGTGATTGCTCAAAAGTCTTAGCCACATCATCGCCAGAAAGAATCTCTGTATCATCAATACCACTGAATCCTATTGATTGGAAAAGATCGCGTACTGCCTCCCACTGTTTTGCCGAATAAAATTTATGTAAATCATTTGAGGCTGGATCCAGAGAATCTTGTGATTCTTCCCATTGCATTGCTTCTTTGATTTTCAGATTTTCCAAAGCCTTTACTTCATCTGGACCTTGTCTTCTGAAATATGCCAGCCTCCTAAAATGTTGTAAAGGTTCAGGACTATTGAATTTTTTTACGAAACCATTATCACAAAGCTTAACCCAATCATCATTATTCATACCCCAGTCTCGAATATCATCTTTACCACCAATATCACCTGAAGCATATGTTCTCCATAAATAATGACGTTGTAAAGACATGTTATCAGCAAAAGAACGCATAAGGTT